CAAAACATTTTCCAGTTAGAATATGCGGAAATGTCCCATTTTGACTATTCAGCAACTTGTTTCCTGCCACATGTTTTGAGTCGGGAGACTCATCAAAACCGACCTTCACAATCAGGTTTGGAGTTGCTGAATTAGCTACGTTGTATCATTCTGTATTAGGCACATGTTCAAAGTCTCTTTATAGTACGGTTCCATCATAAAGATTCAACAAACAAGTAATAGATGTTTTAATAAACAGTTAATCGATGGTTACAAAAAGTCCAACAGGTCAACAGGTTGTGTATAACCATGGCTTATAACCATTGTATGACACATTATACTGATGTGCTTGTAACCATCTATAACACATCATCACGAAGAAGTGAGGTTTTAACTCACGAAAGCTTATGCCCAAATAAATTTGTTAGTCTTTAAGGTGCCACCAGACTCCTTGTTGTATCTATAACACATGCTACTCAGGTCTGTAGCACGGTTATAACATCTATTATGCCTTTATAACCCCCTTGAAACCATTTATAAATGTAACTCACTATAAAGGGTGAACCTCAAACGTAAGTGCTCTGTTGAACAGTGGCAGGCTGTTGACTCGGGGCTGCCACATACTTTTAAGTAGAGTGACCATAAAAAGTAAGACCTAAAGTAAAAATGGGATGGCTGGGGCTTGCCTGAGCCCAAGTCCTTCCGCCCCCCTGCCTGCAGGGCTCGCCAGAGCCACCCCCACACACACACTGCCCGGGGTTGGGGCTGACCCCAAGCCTCCTCCTGAGCTCCATGCCTTATGCCACTCATGGCTGGGGCTGACCCCTCTCCCCAAGCTCCACGCCGCCCGGGGCTGGGGCTCACCCCAGAGCCCCGCTGCCCAGCACCTCGCATCGCCCCCCTCCCAAGTTCCTCTGCATCCCCCTTAGGGGAGCGCACCTGACTTTTTTGGTAAACTGGGCATTTGTTTGTTTGCTTTTGCCAACTGATCAGTTGGGAAGAGCAAACGAGACAAATGCCCATTTTTTGTAAAAAAAAGTTGGGACAGCCAGGACAGAGCTTAAAAACGAGACTGTCCCCAGGCAAAACGGGACATATGGTCACCCTCCTTTTAAGCTAAGAGTGACAGTATTGTAGAAATGAAGGGCTGGAAAGGAACTTGAGATGTCATCAAGTCCAGTCCCCTGTGCTGAGGTGGGACCAAGTAAATCCAGACGAGACCATCCCTGGCTGGTGTTTGTCCAACACCTCCAGTGACAGGAATTCTACAACCTCCCTTGGAAACCTGTTTCAGCGCTTAACCTGACAGTTAGAAAGGTTTTCTTAATATCTAACCTAAATCTCCCTTGCTGCAAACCCATTACTCTTGTCCTACTTTCAAAGGACCCGGAGAATACCTGATCACCATCACCTTTATAACAGCCCTGAATCTAGTTGTTATCAGGTCCCTGCTCAGTCTTCTTTTCTCAAGACTAAACATGCCCAGTTTTTTAAATCTTTCTTCAGAGGTCAGACTTTCTAAACTATTGATCATTTCTGTTGCTCTCTTCTGGACTCTCTCCAATTTGTTCACATGCGTCCGAAGCTGTGGTGCCCAGAATTGGACAGAGGACTCCAGCTGAGGCCTTACCTGTGCTGAGTAGAGTAGGACAATTACCTATTGTGTCTTCCATACAACACTCCTGTTAATACACCCCAGAATATCAGCCTTTTCACAATGGCCTCACATTGTTAACGTATAATCAGTTTTGTGATCCACAAAAACCTACACTTAAAGACTGAAATAGAGAAACTACCATATCCTTAGTTAAATTGTCCCAGTGATTAATTACTCTCATTAGTAAATATTTGCATATTATTCCCGGTTTGAATTGGTCTTGCTTCTGCTTCCAACTAGTGTCTCTCATTCTGTCTGCTAAATTAAAAAGCCCTCTCCGGTCATAACCCTTCTTCCCAACTCCAGGGGGTTCTGTGCGGCATGGAGGGGCAGATCCCATGAGTTCCAGAGCCATCCACTCACATTCATTTCCAGCCAGAGTCCAGGACCCCGACCGACCCCCCCGCCCCATAAAAGAACAAGTGCCCCAAAATCTCCAGAAAGTCAGCAGGTGATGATTTGTCTTCTGACAAGTAGACTACTCTACAAGTGGCCCAAAAACATGAAAAGCGGAGCTCCCACCTCCACCTCCACCTCCTGAACAAGAGGTTGATGGCCCTGCTGGAGAAAATTGCTGCAGACACAGTAGATGTCAAGGCCACAATGCCCACGGTACCACTGACTGTTACCTCAATTAGCTCCTCTCTGCAAGCACTGACAGGGATGGTGAATGAAGCAGAAGGGATAATATAATTGGTGGAAGATCAGCTAAGGGCTCTCTGCCCTCACAGATTTATCTTCTCTTAAATCTAAAGTGGCAGACCTCAAGGGATGGTCTCGCCCCAATAATCTGAGATTCAGACCTGAAGGAGCAGATCAAGGCAGTCCCCTAGCATTCATTCCTGGCTCCTATCAGAAGTGCTTAGCCTGTGGGGTGATTTGGTTTAGAGAACGCTCGTAGGTCCTTGGCTCCTAAGCCACCTTCAAATGCCAAACCTTGCCCACTGATTGTTGGATTTCTCAGATTTCCTGTAAAAGAAAAAAGAATGCAGCTAGCTCATGGTGGTGGGAAGAACTGTTTTGGGGGCTGCCACCGAATAAGATAATGCTTTGTCAAGATTGTGCGCAAGTTGTGAACAAAGATCTTGAACAAAGAGCAAAAGAACTTGCCAAGCAGCGAGAGCTCAAATGTTTTATAAGGTTTCAAGCTCAGTTGCATGTCGAAGTTGATGAGGAAATGCATCTGTTCCAAAAGTCACAAGAAGCAGAAGGAACTGAGTACCTTCTCTGTTGTTTTATGTCCAACTTACTTCCTCATCATTATATCTGCCCTACATACACTTACAGCCGTAATCAGTTAATGGGACTCACTTACTGATTTGGCTTATCTCTTCTGCTCCAAGCTGATACCTAATATCTTTCATATTAGCATTGTCTGGTCTTGCCGTATCAACAAGCTGTAAAGTTGAGTAATTGCATAATTTCATTGGCTATCCTGTGAAATGTGCGGTATTTGATAGCATATATGAGCTGTAAGTCATTTACCTTTCTGTATTTCTTGGGGTTTCTTTCTTTATGAATTTTTTTTTAAATCACATAAAAGGAATATGTAGATACCCAGGTAGGCACCTATAGACCACGATCAAGTCACCTCTTAACCTTCTTGGGATAAACAAGATAGATTGCGCTACTTGCATGTCTACGCAGCCCATGACAGCGAGCCTCCGAGTTGACAGACTTGGGTTCGCAGGGGTCTTGCTATGGCACGGAAAACAGCTGTGCAGATGTTGTCACTTTGTCTGGAGCTTGGGCTCAGAAACTTAGGGAGTGGGGAGGGCTTCAAAGCCCAAGCCGAAACTGAACACCGCTGTCTACACAGATTTTCTAGCAGCGTCGTGCGAGCCCAAGTCTGTTGACCTGGGCTCGGAGGCTCCTGGCTGCTGGCTGTGCAGACACACCCTATAAGATTTTACCGATCACTCTTGTAGCTCTTTTCTGAACCCTTTCCCATTTTTCAACATCCTTCGTGGGGACGCCAGAAGTGGGCGCAGTATCTAGTCATGGTCTCGCTAATGCACAAAGTAACACCACCTCCCTTCTCTGAGTTGATATTCCCTTATACAGCCAAGGTTTGCGTTTGTCTTCTTGCCTACAGCATTCCCCTGGCAGCTCATGTTCAGCTGATTGTCTACCATGAGCCTGAAGTCCTTTTCAGTGCCGCTGCTTTCCATGACCCAGTCCTGCCGCTGTCTCCATCTGACCTATGCCTAGATGCCTGACCTTGCATTAGGCCATGTGAAAACAGACGTTCGAAGCAGCCGACACTGTGCTGGTGAGCCCTGTGAATGTAACCCAACATTGGATCCCAAGAAATGCGGCCACAACGTTAACATGGGCTTCCACCAAAACGTTACCTTCCCTTGGCTGGCTTAGACAAGAATAGCCCCTTGTGTGAAGAGAGCCCATCCTCACAGCTCTACCACAGACCCAGAGTTTTACTGGAGAGATCTACACCCCAGTCTCAGGATGGAACTGGGGTTTCACGTCTACCCCCATGATGAAATGAATCTTCTTCTCTAGGGCCATGTCTACACTAGCACTTATGAATAAAACACACACACACACACACACACACCGAGCAACGTACGTTTTGCTGGTATAAGCTTCTTCTTTGAGTTGTTCAGGCAGAGTCTAGGGGTCGCATTCATCCCCTTGATGGCCTTTCACTGGACAGTTGAATGTGGTTGCATCAGAAATGGCCTTTCTTTGGCCCTTTGCACGATTCCTTAACCTGCTTGGGGGCAGGAGGAAGATAAATATCACTGCTTCTCTTCCAAACAATCTCCCCTTCGCCACCCCAACCCGTCTTGACTACTGTCTCCAGGATTTTACCAATCCCAGTTAGCTCTCTGCAAATAACATGGACAATTTTAACACTCACAATGTAACAAATTTGACCTGAAGTTGCTACTGTGTGTTGTTTTTTAACCAGTGTGTCTACCCAATTTTTGTCCTCCCTGTCCAAATTGTTCTCCCTAGCTACAAGTAGACTGGGCAGGTGGGGGGAGAGGGGAACGCATTCCAGTGGGCATGGTCCATTTGCACACTTTTAAGAGCTGAATTTTCCACTGCCAGGCTTCCGCTTTCTCTCTTTTCCACCTGTACAGCCACTCCGCCCTCCCGTAATGGCAAAGAAAGGAATTGCAGGATGTAGGATGACTATTCATCAGGTCCCAGGGAGATTTCCTTGGGCCTTCTCTCTCCCATGCCGGCCAGTTCCCAACTGTACATTTGCCCACCACAATAAAGTGAGCAGCTGCAGGGCTTACTCCACTGGCCTCCGCGTGGAGAAAGGGTTAAACCAGGCTGCTGGAGCCAGAAGGGACACAGCAGGACCATAGAGGAAGTTCAGAGGAGCAGCATTTCCTACGATGAGTCACTGCAGTGCAGAGGACTGATACAAAATTTCCTGCATCCACTTGTGTTCCACCGTGAGCAAAGCCTGAAAGCCCAACCTGAGAGGAGTCTGTGCTAGCCAGCGGGGTTGTTGGGATTTGCCTGCTGACCCCCATCCTCACCAGAGATGGATCCCAGGACATCCCTCTACCTCGTGCTCAACTTCATTGCCTGGGGTGAGTTGCGTTATCCTTCCCTGCTGCTAACCCCCAGCCCAATCACACTGTTCTGTGGGCACCACCACCCCACAGCGATGGCCTCCTGGAATCAGTGGGGAGCCCTGGTCCTGGCAGAGAGGTGTTTTCACCGTCCGCCCCTCCTGCCGGCTCAGTACCCATTGCTTCCCTATGCTGGATTTTGGCAGAGTCCCAGGACTGGGAGGTCCATGGATTCTGAACACTTCACTCACCCCAGGCTTGAGAGGTAGAAGGTGAAGCAGAGGGTGTCTGGCTCCCTGTCTTCTCCTCTTCCTCCCACCTCTCACCCTGACCGTTTCCATGCACCTCTGCCTCTTCCCTATGCACCCTGTCCTCCAAAGTCATCCGAACTCCTCACTTTATGCTTGGGAGGAACTCCCTGTAAACATCCACAAAACCGCCTCCTTGTCCGCCTTCAAAATTCTCCCCTGCCATGACAGCTACAAAAACTTGACATCAGTCATGCCGCTGGCATGCTGAGACCCCTGCCCAACCTGTTGACTAATATGGTCGCATTATTTCCTTGCACTCTTCCGTACGGCTGCAACCAGCTCTTGGCCTAGGTTGTAAGCTTTTGGGGCAGGGCTGTCTGCTTGTTCTTTGTACAGGGCCTAGCGCAACGGGGTCTTGGTCCATGAAGAGGGCTCCGAGCCGCTCCTGTAATATACAACAAAGAGTCCTGTGGCACCTTATAGACTAACAGACGTATTGGAGCATAAGCTTTCATGGGTGAGTACCCACTTCGTCAGAGGCATAAAGTGGGTATTCACCCACGAAAGCTTATGCTCCAATACGTCTGTTAGTCTATAAGGTGCCACAGGACTCTTTGTCGCTTTTTACAGATCCAGACTAACACGGCTACCCCTCTGATACTCCCGTAATATAACTGATCATAATAATAAAAGCACCAATGGGATTAATCTGCCACAGAGCCAGGGCTGGCCCAGATTCAGCACCCCCTTCTGGAGCAAAAGGGGGAAGCAGTGTGCCGACGGATTCAGGTCCCACTCTGCTTGCTGGGCAGCACAGCTCTTCACGGCCACAAGTTAGCTCTAAATAATGTGGCTCATATTATTTTAATTTCCTCTCACCCTAAACTCTTCTCCCTTCCCTTCTTCCTTGGGTCATGATGGATTCTTCATCACTGGCCATTTCAAAATCAAGATTGGATGCTTCCCGAGAGATCTGCTGTAGGAATTATTTGGGGGCAGTTCTCTGGCCTGTATTATCCAGGTGGTAACACTAGATATCACCATGGTCTCTTCTGGCCTTGACAGCTATGAATCTTGTCTGTCACCACCGTTTATGTTTGTCCCATGTCGTTTTTAAGCAAGGGACCCCTTCTTTTTCATTCATTGTAAAGCACCAAGCAAAATGCTGCAGCTGTATTAATAATTATTGTGTATGAAAAACCACTATTGATAAATGAAGCAATCAGTGAAAATCATTAACAATTATAGCAACCCCTAGATCACTCTTCTCCCTGCATGAGGGTATTGATACTGCTATGGTGGTGCCACCAGATGGTGCTGTTACACACAATCTTAGCATGTGAGCCAGAGTACAGTCTTGGCAGACATAGTCTTGTTAGTTTTGTAATCCAATTTATTTTGGGGGGGCAACTGTTGCAAAGGGCAGGAGGATTTGTTGCTCCCTGGGAACCTGGCACTGATGCATGGGCTGAGATCACTAACAGAGGGGCTTGAATGTGTGCTGTTTGTGACCACCTCTGTTCCAGGACTGGTGCATAAAATGTAAATGAACAAGGTGCACTAAGAAACTACTCAGATTCCATGTCACTGCTTTCTCCTGCAATGAGCAATTGGTATAATACTTACCTGCCTTTGGGACCAATGCGTGAAACATGTTGCACTGATGTTTTATTCTCTCTTGCATCTCATTGCACTCATGGTTCCCAATCTTGACACCAGGTGCCTGCTCCCAGGAAAACTGTCTCTGCGCCCGCGGCTTTTGTTACGAGGGCTGGGTGCAGTATCAAGACTCCTGCTATAAGGCTGTGAAGGAACCGATGAAATGGCCTGAAGCTGAGGCAAGTCTGAATGTAGGGAGGTAGCATGGCCTAGTGGTAAGAGCCCCAGCCTGGGACATAGGAGAGCTGGATTCTATTCCCAGCACTGGTTTGTTGGGTGACCTAGGGCAAGTCACGCCCCTCGCCGTGCCTCAGTTTCCCAATCTGTAAAACGTAAAGATACTGACTTTGTAAAGTGATTTGAGATCTTGTAACGGTGCATGGCCTCTGCTCCTATCTTTCTCTGAGCGCACAGAGCACTTGGAGATGTTCTGCTTGGGAACACCACGTGTAGTTGATTTACAGCAATGATCACCAAGCCATCGATTGTGATCGACTGGTCGATCCTGGAGCCTCTGCCAGTCCATTGCAATCTCTGGGCCGCTAAAAGTCCTGCAGTGTAGTGGGGCTTAGGCAGGCTGCCTGCCTGCCGTGGTCCCACACTGCTCCCAGTAGCAGCTGGCTGCTGGCACATCATTGTGGCCCCTGGGGGAGGGAGAGAAGGCGGCTCCACGTGCTGCGCCGCCCCCAGCACTGTCCTTGCAGGAACCGGCCAATGGGAGCTGTGGGGGTGGCGCTTGTGGTCATGGGCAGTGCACGGAGACCCGCTGTCTCCCTCCCCCCAAGGGGCACAAAGAGACAATTCCCTGCACCCCCTCGTGCATCCCAACTCCCTGCCCCAGGCTCAGCCTGGAGCCCCCTCCCACACTCTGAACCCCTCAGCCCGTCCAGAGGGCTAAAAATAGCTGTGTCGCTCTTCGGGCTTCGCGGAGTTTCAGAGCTGGACGGCTGGTGGAGCCTGAATGTCGACACTGCCATTTATAGCCCCGGAGCCGGAGCCCCGGGAGTCCAAGTGAGCTGAGCTGGGCCAGCCACGGCCATGCTGCAGGTCTTCGATTACAGCGCAGTCACTCTCCCCTGGCACTTCCTTCCTGGGCCTCATTAGCCCTGTCGCCGTCTGCAGCCCACCTCTGATCTGTCACGTAGGCCCAGCTTCGCCCCTCCGCTTGAATTGGTGCTCCAGTGGTCAGAGTGCTGGTACAGCTGCTGTCGCCCAGCGCTCTGGCCCAGATCAGCTGCTGAGAAGCACTTTACAAGAGCTAGGGACTATTAACAGCTGGGCATATTTGCTGAGCAGGGAGAGAGGCAGGGGACAGGAAATGCTCTGGAGGGCACATTACTAAGGGCTGGATTCTGGCCAGCTGTACGTGGTTCCCTTGAGATCAGTGGCACTATCGGTGGAGTGGGCGCCTATGCAGCGTCTGTTCAAAGGGGTCCACTGACGTCTCTCATTAAATCCTGAGCCATCCGAGTGAATCTGCCCCTTGAGCACCTGGTGTGACTCCTGCCAGGGAGAATGTTGGAATCCCTCCTCTGCCACACGAACAAGTCTGGGGGAATTTCCCAGCCTTCCAGATGGCCTCTGTTCGCCTCCTCTAAATAGTCCTCTGATGGCCATTATTGCCCTCCCACCGAGATCTCTGTATCCATAAGCTTATACTCAGCTCGAGGGCATTTCTCTGTGGGTGTGTCTGTCGGTCAGGTGATAACACTTGAACGTCCGTCGCATGCCATCTGTTCCAAAACGTCAGGGAACCTTCTAGGCATCGATGCCCAGAGTTCTACTGATCTGGGGAGAAATCAGAAAAAACAAAAAGGGGGAAATGGAGGACGCTGGTCCGGTTTTTGCCATCTGGTTAGCAGAGCAGGTAGCTACAACCACCTCTCTCATTGTTGGTGGATGGCAGCCATTAACACCTTCTGGCATAACACAGCCCCTGCCCTGAGCTCTGCCTGTCCTCCCAACGGACTTTTCAAATGTTAACACTCTCAGGTTGTGTCTACACCAGGAGCAGCGGAAGCTCTCTAAAAGCGGGGGGTGGGGGTGGGGAGTGCCTGAATCATGGCCCCGCCCACCACACTGCCCCTTCGCCAGAGACCCCGCCTCTGTGCTGCCCCTTCCCCCACTAGGCCACACCTCCACATCGCCTCTTCCCTCACTTTTAAAAGTGTGTGGGGGGGCATATCCCCTTGCCCCCCCCCCCCATTCTGGCACATGCTATAAATGGCACAACTGCAGCTGTGCTGCTCTAGCGTAGACACTTACTACAGCCACGGGAGGGGTGCTTTTGTCCCCGCAGCAAATGGACTAGTCCCCTCCCTGTGGGGGAAACCAAGGTGTGAGACGCTAAGAGACTTGCCCAAGGCCACCTGGTGAGTCTGTGGCAGAACTGGGAATTCAGTCCATCGCTCTTGAGGGCTAGGCCACTGCCTCAACGACCAGACCACCCCCCTTCTCTAGGGCCCTAACCCACTGATGTCAACAGGCGTTTTTCCATTGATATTTAAGCGTTTTGGGTCAGGTGCGCTGGGTGAAGCCTTGTGTGATTTGTCCTTGCGGTGCCTTTTCAGGTGGCGTGTCAAAGCTACGGCAAGAATTCCCATCTGGCCTCCATCCACAGCGCAGAGGAAAATGACTTCATCTTTCACCTGATGGGCAAGCCGCTGGATTACACTAAAGGGCAGGCCTACTGGATCGGCGCACATGACACTTTCAAGGTAGCTCCTGCCTCACCCGTCTGGCACAACCCGCC